CCCCCCCCCCCCCCATGGATTCTGCTGTTGAATCAGAAACATTTCTGGTCTTATCCTCAGGGACAAATAATTAAAAAGCGCCTCCAGTTTTCACATATTTTTAATAAAGAAATAATGTTTTCATGTTGCAAGAAACAGCTTTTATGCAACTTAATGTTACATTTCACTTGGTCTACCACATGTATATAAAAATATACATTATTTAGTGCTTCATCTCAGTGTATTTGTGTGTGCATGCTTACTTTGAAGACCTCATGGCTTGATAAAGCCCTATCTTTAAGCCACTGTATGAAAATAGTGGCCTAAATACCTCTTGATGCTGGGGTATGCCATGGAAATTCCTTCCCTTTCCATTTCCCTGCAGTCCTATGACTCCAGAAGGTTTCCTGGTCTTCTAGAGAATGGTGGTGTTTTTTTGTATATTCAAACAATTAGAATGGGAAGGGACACTGCCCCCCTCACCCATGTGGATTCTGCTGTTAGATAAACTGCCTTTGGAAATACAATTACTGTATCACCAGTGTGTGTACATATTATGTGAACAATACCAGAGTGAGACTGAATATCTCTTTCCCATTTAACAGGCTTCCCCATCTCCTGAAGTGTTTTGGCAAAAGGATGGGAAAGCTCTGCCTGCAAAGGCCACAACGACCACCAGAGAAAGCCTGAGCCAACTCATCATACCTGGAGCTGACTTTTCTGACAGTGGCCATTATGCCATTGTCCTCCGAACTGAGACTGGGAAAAAAGAGACTTTTGGCTTCCTGGTCCAAGTTCTAGGTAGAAGGGTTGCGGGTGTGCATGTACTGTCTGTGATGACATCCCTTTACCTGGACAATTCCTTCAGTTCCTTATTCCTGCTTAATTAGCAAATTGTTAGCAAGACATGTATCAACTATGCAGGCTTGTCTATTGTCCTTGGAGGGTGTATAGTTTACGTGGCATTTAGAGGTCACAAGCTGTATATTTAGCACCACCAGAAAGGGATTATGGATCACATACCACAGTAGGCCTTTTCATGCCAACTGTCAGCTATGGAATAAGACATCAGCTGCAAGTATCACAGTCAGTCAGCCCTTTGGTTTAGAGTTTACAAAACCAATTGGTTCAACTGTCAACAGACATTTCTGTCTGAGATATAAAGAGGGTCAAAACTGGCTTTATTCCACATTCCATCTTGAAGTTAATGCTTTCCTAATCTTCTGTTCCCTTAAACTGAAATGTTGAGTGGTCCTCATTCCTGCAATTTGAAGGTGTTTTGTGTTTTCTACACACTAAGCATAATAGTATTATGTGCTGCTTCACTTTGAATGAAGACATGATCAGTTGACAAATTAAAATGAAAAGTAAGATATTAATTGTAGCCAGAAGCTCAAATATCTAAAGGATTTTACTGAAAATAATAGGCAGAGAAAGAAAATTGGCAATAGTGAGGTAGATGCATTTGTGTAATTGCTAGAAGAGTGCAATTGTTGGCAGAAGTAAAACCTTCCTCTCACCCATGTATCAGAAATGGATGGCGCTCTCTTGCGCTAGCTTCTCAGATAGTAACTGTGTTTTCCCCATTTGTGGGAACTTTGTTTTTAAATGGAGATTTGGAAAGGCAGAAATAATATGCTGCTATCTCAGGTAAAGATCAGATTGGAGCATTACTAAAAGAAACACATAACACTTATCTATCTGTGTGCCCTTTATTTGAGCATGGAGCATTGCAGGAAGCCTGTACAAATCCCTAATGTATATTTTATCACTTCATGTTCCTGCTATTTCTTTAAAACTTATATTTCTTCTTGTTTAAATTGTTTTCATTTCACAGATGTCCCAGAATCCCCTGGGCCTATAGAGCTTGTTGAAAAGGTCCCTGATACAGTGACCCTGATCTGGGAGCCCTCCCCAACGGAGAAGAGAGACAGAACCCTAAACTATCTGGTTATGCGACGCGATTCCTACAAAGGATCATGGGAACTGGTGACTGACTTGATTTACACGAACAAGTGCACTGTTGCAAATTTTGTCCCAGGCCGAGAATATTTTTTTAGAGTTCTGGCAAAAAATTACATGGGAATTAGTGAGCCATCTGAAACGGTGCAGCCCTGGATTATTCATAGAGAAAGAGGTCAGTATTGTGCACTTGCTTGTTTGTTATATTTACACCCAGCCTTTCAGCTAAAATGAGCTAAAAAACTGTCCGTGGTTCTACTCTCCACTCTTTTCTGACAACTGGAGGTTGAAAATGGTTTTTTGTTGGATTGTAACTTCCAGGCAATGGCCATACTGGATCTGGTATTTTGGGAGTTATGGATCAGAAACAAATTCTCTGAGCTCTGCTCACAATGACTTGGAGGTATGTCAGGCTGAGACAGCTTGACTAAGCTCAAGGTCACCTGGTGAATTTCATGGCTTACTGGAGACTCAGACTTGTATCTCTCAAATCCCAGCTCAACAAAAGAAGAGACATGCTGGATCATACCAAATGCCCCTAGTCCAGCATTTTGTTCACACAGTGGCCAGTCATTAGCTTTTGGGCAGTCCTTAAGCAGCCCTATTCTGGATACAACAGCCACCCTGCTTGACCTACCCTGCAACTGATATGCAGAGATAGACTGTCTCTGGAATTAGAGGGAATGACCAGTAGCTACTGATTATGTTAAACTCCACACATTTTTCCAAATATTTTTTTAAAATCTATCCAAGTTGGTGGCCACAACTGTATCTTAGAAATTTCCTGGTTTGACTATGTAGTGTATGAAGAAATACTTAATTTTTTTCTGTTGTGAATTTCGTACTTTCCATGGATGAGCTCAGGTTCTAGTTTTATGTGAATGAGAGCAAAGCTTTTCTCTATCCACTTTCTCTACTTCACACTACTTTTTTCACCTCTATGACATTTCCCCATAGTTTTTCTTAAGGTCAGTAGTCCCAAATCTTCTAGTCTTCCTTCAGAGGGGAATGGCTTCAGATGAGCAATTTGGTTGGTTTTTTAATTTCCAATAATCCTAGAGATTAGTTTTGAACAAAAGACATATCATCAGTTAGATAAAGATATCTGCAAAATGATGGTATCAGGGAGTGTAAGGTTTCTTCATCCTTGTCATGTTGGTTTGTATTGATGGGAGTTTAAAATAGATACTGTACATCGTAGTGACTGAGTCATAACCTATAGAGAATATGAAATCTGAATCCTAATAACTGGGGGAAAAGGAACATAGAAAGAGTCCTGCTGGATCACATATAAATTAAACACAGTCTAGTGTCCTGTTTCCTATAGTGACATTTCAGGTGCCTCTATACAACACCTACAGGCAGGACACAGGACCTACCCACCTCCCTTTATGACCTCCCCATCAACTGACATTCAGTACTGTATTGAACTGTGCAGACAAAAGTTCCAAATAACTTTTAGGACTAATAGGCATTTTTGCTTTGTGAATTGGGCCATTTCTCCCGTAAAGCCATCTAGGACAAAGCATTTGTTTTTAACGTGGATCATCCTGGATTTACAGCTAATCAATTCTGTTTGGTAACTCATTGATGAGAATCCAACTGAAGATTTACACTGACATAAGTGCAATGGTAGAACTTTATTTGGTTATTAACTAACAAGTCCTGATTGAGCTCTTACTCATACACCAGCTGCATAACTCGGCACACAAATAGGAACTCAGAGAGAATTCACTAATAAGCAGCTACTCACCACTGTGAGTTATGCCATTGCACTTATACCAGTGTATATATTCAATTAACTGCATTCTCATCAGTACATGAGAAAAATACGTAACCTCTGTAACCAGTTAGTTGAGCTTCATATGACCCAGAGCAACATTGTTTTAACTGAGAAGTGCATGTATACTACAGTATAATGTTTTTGCTTATTTTTTTTTTATTCCAGGCCTCCATAATGTCATATGTTTCTAAATGGGGGAAAAAGGAATGGTTAATGTGTAGAAAATGTATTGTTAATAGGAATGTTTGTGGAATTTGATCTTTGATAATTCTGATATGAACCAGACTGATTCATAGAGTGGCACACTTCTAAATTCAAAAGTCATACAATGCTGTATTAAAAATGCATATTTTGAGATATAATATACAGTCTGAGGTAAAATGTATTTAGAAATGTTCATTTTACAGGAAAATGTTTTGAAAATATCATTTAAGTATAAATTTTCATATTTAAGAAATAATTACAGAACAGTGCATAAATGTGGATGGAATGGATATTAGTAAACATAAGAAAAGGTAACAAATGAGAGAAATAGACTGATCAATCTAAACATAGTTCTTGTCTGTATATTGATGAAACCTCAATATTTTGCCAAATGGAACCAGAAACGCACAAGAAACTACCTCAGCTCTACCCCATTAAATTAACATTCCCAGCTAGTTCAGACTTAAATGTTACATACAATGCTCAACTTTTATTGTACCCTTTGGGGGCCTGGTTTTATTTTTGTACCACTTTCAGGTAAATATGAAGTCAGACTTCCAAGATACAAGGGGATCAACCACCATCAACCTCCAAGATTCCTCGTTCCACTGAAACCACATGTGGTGATTTTAGGATTTGATTGTCACATGAGTTGTGCTGTGACTGGAAACCCAGCCCCTAAGGTAACCTGGTACAAAGATGGCAAAAATATCACCAAGGATCCTGCTTTCTTCAGCAAAAATGACTTTGGGATCTGCTCCCTCATGATCCCAGGGGTCACGCCTTCTGATGCAGGCCAATACATGGCAATGGCCGTCAATGAATTAGGAGAAGCAAACAGCAAAGCTGAACTCACCATAAAAGGTAAGGTTAAGAATGTCAAAAAAGAGAGAGCTCACTCTGGGAATTGGTTGTTGTGGGTTTTTCGGGCTCTTTGGCTGTGTTCTGAAGGTTGTTCTACCTAACGTTTCACCAGTCTCTGTGGCCGGTATCTTCATAGGACAGCACTCTGTCCTCTCTGAAGATGCTGGCCACAGAGACTGGTGAAACATTAGGAAGAACAACCTTCAGAACATGGCCAAAGAGCCCGAAAAACCCACAACAGCCATTAGATCCCGGCCGTGAAAGCCTTCACGAATACTCTGGGAATTCTTTGCCTTTCATAGGAATATATTTAGTTCCAGTAATTATTTTGTTCTGCTGTTGAATCCTATCTGTTGGGTCTGTCAATATGCTATCGAACTTTGCATCAGACCCATGGTTTCCAATCTTGGGTCCCCAGATGTTCTTGGATTAGAACTAGAGATAGGGAGGGGAGGGCAAGCCTCCTTGTTCAGCTGCAGAGTGGCTTGGTGAGCAGTGAGGCAGGGCTGCAGCAGCTGAGCTACTGCCACTGCTGGGATGCAGGAGAAGACCACAGCCATATGGTAAGTGGTCTGGTGGGGTCTGGGGGTGGGAGGTAATCGAGCTGGCCACCTCTAATTAGAACTGCCAGAAATTTTGGCAGTATAGCTACTGGTGATAGCTTCTGGGAGTTTTAATTCAGAAACGTCTGGAGACTGAAAGTGGAGACCACTGCAATAGATAAAAGACTTCTGGTGTGCATCTGTGCTTTCCCTTTTTCACTGTATTATTAAATGGTTTAGCAGAAATAGTTTTTACTGAAATTTAGTGAGCAAAGAAGATGGAAAGCAGATAGGAGTTCTAGTTTAACACTAGATTAACAGTTCCTGGCATTATCTAGATGGTATCTCTGGCATAAATTCTAAAGCCCATACAAACATTTTCAGTGTTAAAAATAAAACAAAACATAGCATGCTGCTTATATACCAACCCATAGAGTTTGAAGCACTCTATGGATAGTTTACAAGTTAATTATGCAGATGCTTGTTGTGGGGTTTTCGGGCTCTTTGGCCATGTTCTGAAGGTTGTTCTTCCTAACGTTTCACCAGTCCCTGTGGCTGGCATCTTCAGAGCCCGAAAAACCTACAATAACCATTAGATCCCGGCTGTGAAAGCCTTCGTGAATACATTAATTATGCAGGTTACACAATGCTCCTCCCCTCACAAGGTGGGTACTCATTTTACTAACCTCAGAAGGATGAAAGGCTAAGTAAACCTTGCACTGGCTACCTGGGATTGAAACCCAGGTCGTGAGCACAGTTTTGGCTGCAGTACATCAGTTAACCAATGCACCATGAGGCTACATGTAATCTGTATCAAATTAAGAACTGGATCTGGAAATAATGTGGTGCACATAACATAGCAATGATATTTTTAAGAGTTATCAGTGGCCTGGTAACATACAGTGGGGTCTCTACTTAAGAACTTAATCCGTATTGGAAGGTGATTCTCAAGTTGAAAAGTTCTTATGTTGAATCTGCATTTCCCATAGGAATGCATTGAAAACCATTTCATCCGTATCTGCTGTTTTCCGTCCATAGAAACTACAGTGGAACCTCTACTTAAGAACTTAATCGGTTTTGGAATGGTGTTCTTAAGTTGAAACGTTCTTAAGTTGAAGCAAAATTTCCCATAGGAATGGACTGAAAACCAGTTAATCCGTTCTGGCTGTTTTTTTTTGTTATGTAGAGGTGCGTTCGTTCATTGAAGCATTAGTTCCCATAGGAACTAATGCAAAGCTGGTTAATACGTACTCTACCACTAGGTAGAGTACCTAAGATGACCTAAGATGACCTAAGGTTAAAAAAAGAGCAGGTAATTTTTTTCTTGTTCTTATCTTGGATTTCTGTTCTCAAGTAGAAGCAAAATTTAGCCAATGGAGCTGTTCTTAAGTTGGATTGTTCTTAAGTAGGGATGTTCTTAAGTAGAGACCCCACTGTACATTCCAAGTTTGGTGTAGTGGATAGAGTAATGAACTAGTACTCTGGAGAACAAGGTTTGAATCCCCACTTGGTCCTAGAAACTCACTGGAAGAGTGGAACTGGTAAAATCACTCCTTAGATATCTCACGTACCTTGGAAGCCCTATTAGAGTTGCTATATATTGGTTCTGACTTGACAGCACAGAATACACACACATTGGCCTTAATGACTGAGGCTGAAGTCCAACAACTTTTGTAGGATTACAGATTCTCTACTCTGTAACAGAGTGGTAGTGTGCTCTTCATGATTTCATTCTGTATGTTCCACTTTCCTATGACTCCTCAGATTATGTCAATAGTTCCTTTAGCTGCTTATGGCTGCAGTAGATGAAGAACAACTAACTCTGAAGACCATTTCTTTATGGACTATATGTACAAAAATAATTTGATTTGAAGGCTTTAGATCAGTAGTTTCCAACCTTGGACCAAACTCCCAGAAGGCTTCACAATTAGCTGGTCTGGCTAGGATCTCTGGGAGGTGTAGTCCAAGAACATATGGGGACCCAAGGTTGGGAACCACTGTTTTTGATGAATTGAGGATCTGCTGTGTTAGGCAGGTTGAAGCCTATAACTAAATCTATTAAGAATAACTAATATCTTCACTCAGATAAGTAGCGCCCCCCCCCATTATTGTATACATGTCCCATTTATTCATATAAAACCTATCATTTTCAAATCACACTTCTTTCTTTTTTCCCTGTTTCTTGCGGAAGAACCCACTGTTTGGTAGCATGAGTTGTAGTATACCAGCTTTGCACAGCCTGCGATTTGATGTTTTCCTGTTGGACCGATGCTGTTACTGAAGGATGCATATTAGCTCTTATGTCAACAGCTTGAAGACTCTACCTAACACAAGGAATGTGATCAAAATACAGCAGCTGACCTTTTCTACAATTTCCCACATCAGGAAAGCTTGCTGAAAAGATTCATGCAGTTCTGCCCAGCAATTTTGCAAATACAGAATCCCATAATGCTTATCATGAATGAAACAGCATGGAGATAACTGTAGAGAGAAAGAAGCTGGAGATTTATTGTCATGTGTGTCACCAAAAATGAAAGTAGTCCTGTGGGAAATAATTAACTGTTTATGGGACTGCAACTGAGATTTTTTAAAAAAAGATGTGTGATAAAATCCTTGGATCTAAACCTGTGAGATCTGAATGTTGCACATAGTGGCACTGTTGGAACATGTGATTTATAGATGTTAAACATTTGGGATCCTTCAGTCAAGAGGAATATCCAAACCTATCGGAGACATCTCACTATTTTCAACTATCACATGTTTAATTGCAGAAATGTTAGAAGCTTATTGGAGTAGGAGAATGCCACTCATGTAATATGTATGATATTAAAGACAGATTCTTGAATAACATTTGCCTTAAATCTGAAGTAAAAATTTTAAGATCTATTTTCCTGAAATTATCATGGTTTTATCCAAAAGATCAAGTCAGGAATATATTTTCAGTATTTTTCAAACAATGAGTTGCATCCTGATTGCAGGCCAAATGCCTGGATGAGATAAGAATTTACTGACAACAGAAGATACTTGCTCCATGCCATTTTTCACCTGAACTAAGCTATTAGTTGGCTATGCTGTTGTTTTTAAAGCAGTCAGCGCCTTTGTAGATGATATCTCATTTCAGAACAGAATAAAAAGCATAGGAAGTGTTTTTTGCAGAGTGGCTGTCCACAACTATATAGTTTTTACTGCAAATATGCTGCAGTGACAGGCCTAAATGATATTTCTTCAATATATAAAAGAACTGATATCAAGCCTCTGTCCGCACTCAGCATTCATTAAGAATGTGTTGACTCCAGAAATCTTGGAAGTTTCCAGTACATTTCTGTGGTCATTTTAGTGGGTTTTATCAGGGATCACAAGAATCCATACAAGTCAAGTGAAACTGTACTAAATCGATGAAGTTTTTAAATATGTATGAAATGATTAGAAATGGAATGCTTACAAAATTTAATGTACTTGATTTTGCCAAGTTGTTTTATCAGATCATGGGATGGGGATAGAAAGAGGGGTGTTTGCGTGCTAAGATTGCTTGGAAGAGGCCCATGTTATCAACAGTTTTTATGCTTTTGTTTCATCATTTTTCTTTCTATTTCTATTGCACTTTATGGGCCAAAGAGAAGAGAAAATGTACTTTTAACCTGAGTAGGCAAGACCTTCTGTTCTAAATAAATTATCAATGAGTTATCACCATCTGAGTTTGAATCTGTCTCTAAGAGGCTGTTTAGACTTCTCAGTAGCCCTGCAATAAGCTGCATTCGAAAACAAAATGAGTAATGTTCATGTGCTGCACAGAAAAAAATGATTCCCTGTCAAATTGCTTGTGCTTGTGAATACATCATGTAATTAATCACCCAAATTTAAATCAAGTTAAAACATACTAAACTTGATTTAAATGGGATGGGGGGTTACTAGTGGGATCAAGCTCTTAGTTCACCATTCCGATCCCAACACTGAGGACTGAGTTTTTGCAACTATACTCATGTAAGAAGAAGCTATCTGAAAACTACAGACTGCTCTGTGAATATCAGTGTTTCTGCAGTGCCCACCATTATGATGCTTTTTAAAAGAATTTCCCAAAATGTATAGGCTTCTTTATATTCAGAAGTGAAAGACACTGAGAGTAAAAGGGGGGAAAAATCAAAGAAAACCAAAACTGATAGTTTCATCCATTATGCCCGTTTGAGTCCTTAACTCTTAAAAGTCTGACTCTGAATGCCTGTATTCTTAATGAATCAGATTTGCTATCTTTGAGATGCTTCTTAACTTTCACACTTATGTAGCACGCAGTTATGGTATGGCCCTCTTTGTTCAGAGAAAAACTCTCTGCACATATTGAATTTGGCTAGAGTTCAAAGCTGAAAAATCATTTTTATCTGTTTCTGTTTAAAATTATGTATTTTGGGACAGAAAGAATTTGAGGATTTTTTTTTTAAAAAAAGATAAATTAAAGGCAGTGAAGTGAAATGGTCATGTTTTGCCATGCTGAGATTATTGACACATAATTGTATTGCAGAGTCACTGGAAAAAGAATGGCAATGACATGGATAATTTCCAGAATTTATATTTACAAGAGTGAGAATTAATTATAAAGCCTCTAACTTCATGCTAATATGTATACAAATAGGAGAAAAAGTTAGGAAGGAAAACATCCAGTACCTCCACTAGGGGGACTCTTCCTAAAGTACAGTACATACTGTAGATATTGTTTACCTACAAGGGACAGGAACTGGCATTCAGATGTTAGCACTAATAATTTCATTGAAAAAATGAGTAAGGAAGAGAAATTGTTGCTTTTTCCCTTTTCAAATGGGAAAGGATATCTCACATCAAAGGATATATGTCAGGTGGTTGTCTATGTTTCTCTTTAACGTCTCCAGTGTTGGAGCACTCACCACCTCTCAAGTTAATTGGTTCCACTGTTGTACCACTGTAACAGGACAATTTTTCTGATATTCAACTGAAATCTGGCTTCCTTTAACTTGAGCCCATTGTTGTGTGTCCTGTCCTCTGGGATGACTGAGAACAGGCCCTGCCCCTCCTCTGCATGACAGCCTCTCAAGTATCTGAAAAGTGTTATTATTTCACCCCTCATCCTTCTTTCCTCAAGGCAAAACCTGCCCAGTTCTTTCAGTCTTGCCTCACAGGGCTTGGTTTCCAACCTCCTGATCATCCTTGTTGCCCTCCTCTGAACTTGTTCCAATTTGTCAGCATCCTTCTTGAAGTGTGGTGTCCAGAACTGGACACAATACTCATGATGAGGCTTACCCAGTGCTGAATAGAGGGGAACAAGCACCTTTGGAAACTATACTTCTGTTAATGCAGCCTAAAACAGCATTTGCCTTTTTTTGTAGCCACATTACACTTTTGGCTCATATTCAGCTTGTGATCTACAATTCCAAAATCCATCTCACTTATAGTATTGCTGAGCCAGGTATCCCCCATCTTGTAACCGTGCATTTGGATTCTTTTTCTGAGATGCAGTACTTTGCACTTGTCTCTGTCGAATTTCATTCTGTTGTTTTCAGCCCAGTGCTCTAGCTTATCAAGATCATTTTGAATTTTGTTTCTGTCTTCCAGGGTATTAGCTATTCCACTCAATTTTGTATCATCAGCAGATTTGACAAGCGTTCCCTGCACCCCCTCATCCAAGTCATTAATAAAAACGATTGAGCCTTGAGGTACCCCACTTGTTACGTCTTCCCAGTTGGAGAAGGAGCCATTAATCATTATCCTCTGAATATGATTCTGCAGCCAACTGTGTATCCACCTGAAAGTTGTTCTATCCAGCCCACGCCTAGTTAGCTTGCTAATCAGGACATCATGGGGCACTTTGTCAAAATGATGTATCCTGTGACTATTTTAAGGCCCAATAAGTTTTTTGTAGAACTGGTTATATTTTGGAATTCCAGAAGCAGTTTCAGTTAACTTCTTGTACAAAAAGTAGTTTCTATGTGAAATCAGAAGCAAATGTATTTTCTTATGTCAACATGGAGCCCTTCTTTTCTTTGAATCCTGCAGGCTCCCCCAATAGGCATGGATGAAAAGGAAGTGTATGTTTGCATGGCCTTCTGCTTCGTCAGAGTCTGTGGGTTTTCATGTTAAATATTTTGCCTGCATAACACAGGGGGAGTGACTGCTGAGACTACTCTAGTCATTTTGGGCAACAACCAGATGAATACAATGCTCTAAAAACAGATGCAGATGCAGTCCTTGAAGACTGGTCTAGAAGCTATCAGAAATAATATCTTGGGATTGACTTGTATTAACTATGCACCACTTACTGTGCATATGTGAAATTATAAGATTTGATGTAGCAGAAATATAGGTGATTTGATCAAAACTGTTGACATTCACAATATTCTTTGAGAACAGCTCTCTCTCTCTCTCTCTCTCTCACACACACACACACACACACACAGAGAGAGAGAGAGAGAGAGAGAGAGAGAGAGAGAGAGAGAGAGAGAGAGAGAGAGAGAGAGAGAGAGAGAGAGAGAGAGAGAGAGAGAGAGAGAGAGAGAGAGAGAGAGCATTTTCCAAAAGTTCTTACTCCATTGCCTGTTATTTGCTGGTTGCCATTTAATTAAATGTCAATTTAGCAATTTTAATTTGGCTAGCAATGAGACTGGTGACAAAAACTAATCAACAACAATGCCTCCATGAGATAAAAATCTGTTTGTGTTCATTACTTCAGCTATGTCACATATGTGTATGTTCTCTTTCATGTAGGTATTGCAATACTCCCCTCTTAGCACTCTCATTCAGCCTGTCTGCTTTGTTAAGGAAGAACAGACAGGTCACTTCTTGCCAGTTCTAATCTCCCCTTCATATGTTCCCCATTTTCCCTAGGAACATCATCCACTTTTCTTCAGTCCCCAGCCTTGTTGACCGAAATGGTGGCATACATGAGCCACACAATAGCACACTGTTTGTTTACTGCACCATTTTGCTCTTTTTTTCTTTGATATTGGTTAGTTCTAGGAATGTAGAGAGAGACTAATCCCTTATCTGATGCACCCATAGTTTATTAGCTGCAATTTGAGTAACAGTTGAATGAATACATTATTTGAGAGGAAGAAACTAAATGTGGAAAAGCCTGCCTGTTTCAGTTTCTCTTCTTTCAGTCTTCCTTTTCCATTTTTCCATTTCCACGTGAAGTTTGATTTAAAAATAAAATAAATAAATAAAATAAATAAATAAACAAACAACAACAACCCACAACTCATTTATTTTTAAAAAAGCTTCTTCCTGAAATTTTTTGGGTATATTCCTCCAAAAATACTTTTCTGTGCATAATTTTGCCTGATAATATATATGTGTGTATGCCATATTTACTAATACCACACTTCTTCAGTGTGCTTCCTTATTGCATGTGGTTTTGTATGGAGACCTGCATCATGAAATTTGGAGAAATACAAACACTGTGTTTTGATCAATGAGTGAATTCAAAGGAGCAAATTAAGTAGGCTTGCATTAAAATGCCAGCCAAACAAACTTCTCACCTACTTCCTAGGAATGGTGTAAAAAGCATTACATGAATATCCTATCTGTTGCATGTCTAACTAAACTAGAAATGAAGAGGAATAAAAAAGTCGGATATGTACGCCTTCTGGCTAGTCTATCTCCGGAAGCATAACTTTCTCTGGCTTTATTCTCACAATAATATCAAAGTTTAGCAACACTGATAACACAGTAGTAAAGCAGGCTACCCAGCTGCTGTGCAGCTGGTGAACAGCAGCTGGCGATCACAGTAGTCAAGATGCAGTTTAATGTTTGCTTAACAAATGATGGGTAACACTAATAAGACATCTTTACTTGTCTTGGGAAAATTTTTGTAGTAATCACCAGCAATTTTGGAATGATAACTACAAAGGAAGATCCAACACTACCTGATGGAGCACGGCCTCCTCGTACATTGGAGAAATGCTGTTTGGGCTATAGTAATTGTTTTACAGAAGACCCAGCTTATTTCTGTTTCCACCTACAAACATATAATGTTCACACACAAGCACTTTGTATACTGTATTAGATTTTGTATCTGTAAAATACTGCACGTGTACATGCAAATGTAGCATTCATTAAAGAAGTTATGAAAATGTCTTTCCAAACATGTTATGGAAGTTATCGATTACGAAGTTAGACTGGGTAACCAAGTCAGCATTCAGGGGCAAAGCAAAGGCTGTCAATGTAGAAAGTGCAAAGTGTCCAATTACTGCAGCTAAATTCATATATATCCCAGATACTGCTTGGTTTTACAGGGTATTAAGTAAGATGGTCTCATAGTCCCATTTCCTAATCTATGGACATAAGGACTGCAGAGAGGAAATACCCGCTCTAGACACACTCAAAATTTCCCATTTATACTAGAGAATGCCACACCTTATGGAACTTCCCCATGTGACAATTTCAGCATATTAAAAAATCTTACCCATGTTAGGTGCCTTTATCTTCATGTTAAATATTTCCAAAAGTCTTAATTAAGGATATATCACAAGATCTCTTGCAAGTGGGGTTCCTGTTTAACCTGCTTTCTGTTTTATTTTGTATCTTTTGTTCCTACAACAGCACACAATTTCTCAGATGTTGGAGAGACAAATGTAGATTGCCAGGTTGTGGGGTGAGGTGGGGCTAAATCATGTATTTTGTTGACCTGGAGGAAGTGATTAAGGATAAAAGAATATTTTCA